CCCATCCGTGTGATTTTTTTGGTGGTGGGGGGAATCTGAGAGCTCCTCGCTTTCGTTCATGTCGTGCATGTCGTGTCAGGATAAAAGGCAGCCTATGAAGACAACAGAGCCCTCCGTGGTCAACATCTCATAAATTATACAGGCTGAGGTTGGGTTCCCGGAACCGGTAGAGGGCAAAAGATTTATACGCGAAGTCACAGGCTGCATGTTTGCAAAACAAAACCTCGCTTCTGAAAGACCCAGCGTCTGTATTTGGACGTAGAATCATAGATCTGGAAGGTGCCTCAGAGGTCTTCTAGTCCAACTCCCTGCTCAAGGCAGGAGATATTATACGCCCCAGTCGAATAGTTGTCCAGTCTGTTTTTGAAAACCTCCAGTGATGGAGCACTCATAACTCCAGGAGACAAGCCGCGGCATCGATTCATTGTTTTCACGGTCCCAAAAGGTCCCCTTATTTCTAAGTTGGATCATCTTCTACCACTGGTGGGTTTCAAAAAATTTTAGAACCTCTTCTGTAGGTGTGGCCTGCTTTGTGGGTGGGAGTGGCTTGCTGGCCATGTGACTGGGTGGGAGTGGCTTGCCAGCCATGTGACAGAGTGGGAGTGGCTTGGCAGTCATGTGACTGGATGGGCATGGCCAACTTGTGGTGAAACTCACTTAACAACACTCTTGCTTAGCAACCAAAATGTTGGCTCAGAAAGTGGCATTTGAAGCACTCAAGTCTTAAAGCTGTCAAGCTACAAGACCCTCGCACCCCTAACCCTTTAGAAAAAAATCCTCAGAGGGGTCTTCAAACTTGACAGCTTTAAGACTTGTGGACTTCAACTCCCAGAATTCCTCCTCCAGTCATCTTGGCTTAGGAACTCTGGCATTGAAGAGTGCAAGTCTTAAAGCTGTCAAGTTACAAGACCCTTGCACCCCTAACCCTTTAGAGAGAGAAAAACCCAGGGGTGTTCAAACTTGACAGCTTTAAGACTTGTGGATAGATGGATGGATGGATGGATGGATGGATGGATGGATGGATGGATGGATGGATAGATAGATAATAGATAGATAGATAGATAGATAGATAGATAGATAGATAGATAGATAGATAGATAGATAGATAGATAGATAGANAGACAATGAGTAGAGTAGAGTAGAGTAGAGTAGAGTAGAGTAGAGTAGAGTAGAGTAGAGTAGAATAGGAATAACAGAGTTGGAAGGGACCTTGGAGGTCTTCTAGTCCAACCCCTCTGCCTAAGCAGGAAAGCCTAGACCAGAGTTTCTCAACCTTGGCAACTTGAAGATGTCTGGACTTCAACTCCCAGAATTCCCCAGCCAGCGAATGCCAAGTTGCCAAGGTTGTGAAACACTGGCCTAGACCATTTCAGACAAAATGGTTATCCTACATCTTCTTAACAACTTCCAGTGTTGGAGCATTCACAACTTCTAGAGGTAAATTGTTCCACTGATGTACCACTGAGTTGGACCTACTTCAGCTCATGCAATGGTCTATTTTCACACTAGCCCACCACTGCCCAATGAAGCCCACCACTCTACCATGAGATGGCCATCCTTGGCTGAGGGTTTTGGAGGTTGCAATCCCAACCCATAAAGCAGGCACAAGATTTGGGAAGACTTTCAAAAAAAAAAAAAAGCTAATTGTCCATGACATTCTAAAGATCTTTCCTTTGGCATATTAACTTTTCAAAAATGGAAGAATTGGTTACAGGGCCACGTTGAGATGGCGCAGTGTTTTGCCACCGCTGCAAAATTCATTACCGCCTGAACAAATCCATCATCAACACAAATGCCAGGGTCCCTTCTTTTCCTTCTATCGAGTATTTCTCCCCTCGCAGCTAACTCAAAACATTTCCCTGCACCAAGTATTTGTTTTTACAGAACATTAATTCTATTATGCACTCATCAAGTTTAATGAAAAAGTTATCCGGGTGTAATTATGCAAATTTATTTCCAAAAGTAAATGAATTCAAAGTGTAGAGAGCCGCCGTGTAAATTAGCCAAAAAGAAAAAGGCGAACGATGTGTGTTTGTGCGCCTATTTTTGATCCCCGAGCAGATGTCAAACATTAATAGGCAGAGCTGGAGGCATCTCGGTCGCACTGCAGCTGGGGTTAATCAAGATCACCGAATGGCGCAACTGTAATTGTCAGCGGTGTTCCCCAAAACCTTGGAATGGCAAAGGTCCCGGCTTGACTCGGCTTTAGAAGATGACAGCAGCTGAAGGATGAGACTCGACTCGTGCTGAAGGTCTTGCAACTCAAATATAAAAGAAGTCAGAGTAAAACGTTCTTTCCCAGGGCAAAAGCTTTTTTGCTTCAAAATTGCCTTTTTTCCTGCCTGATGGAAATGGCCAAAACTTCTTTCGAAGCGGAGCTGTGAATGGTGATCGAGCGGGAGCACATTTCCTTTTAAAAATACCTTTTTTTTTAAAATTTAAAGTTCTTACACATCTAAAGTAAAAGAATAGCAATAGCAATAGCAGTTAGACTTATATACTGCTTCATAGGGCTTTCAGCCCTCTCTAAGCGGTTTACAGAGAGTCAGCATAT